GAGGGGGGGAGAGAGAGAGAGAGAGAGAGAGAGAGAGAGAGAGAGAGAGAGAGAGAGAGAGAGAGAGAGAGAGAGAGAGAGAGAGAGAGAGAGAGAGAGAGAGAGAGAGAGAGAGAGAGAGAGAGAGAGAGAGAGAGAGAGAGAGAGAGAGAGAGACTGGACGCTGTTCATTCTGCATGTTGCTCCACCCCCTGGTGGGTAAAACCAGAAAATGACAAAAGCTCACGACCTCCGCCTTCATTCATAAAAAGAATATAGGACACCAAACAGGAAAATCACCATTTTGAGTGTCAGTTTGCACCTTGGAGGAGGGTCGAGGAGGACTCCTGACATACAGCACATACAAACACTACAACGAAAATAACGGAGTACTTAACGTTATTTGGCAAACTAGTTCTTGGCTCTGCAACTTGCTAGTTAACCAGCGAGACTAAGGTTACAGGAAGTAACAAGTTAGTAAGGCCCATAACCAGCTGAAAAAAACTAGAATTGTATTTTCAATAAAGTTTTTACACACATTACACAAGCAAAAATGAAATGTTGAGTGAGTTTTAGAGGTGCTGGTAGATGGATTTTGTTACCTTTTGACAAAGCCTGTGTTATATGTATGTTAAGCTAACCAGCTTCATATGGAAGAGCTATCAATCTTATCACACAAGTAGTGAAAGAACAGACAAATAGTGCAAATAAATACTAAATGGATACATGGACTGGGTTATTATGTGCAGTAGGCAGCCGACACGTAAAGATGTCTATAAACTGTATATATATAGCGCAGGCTTTATATTGTGAGTAATAGATATGAATTGAACACAGAACATTGCAATCTATAATGGCTGCAGTGGATATTTTGGTATGAGAAGAGTATTCACAGTGTAGGACTGATTTAAGTGTTCATCAGAGTGATGGCCTGTGGGAAGAAACTTGTTGTGTCTGGTTGTTTTCATGTACAGTGTTATGTTGCGCCTACCAGAGGGGAGAAGTGTTGATAGGTTGTGTCCAGAGTGTGAAGGTGTCTGCAGTGATGTTACCGTCCCTGTTTCCTCACTCTGTCCTGGATGGAGGGCAGGCCGGCACCAATGACTTTCTCTGCAGTCCTGACTGGACTGTTGTCTCATCTCAGTTTAAGAAGGGCATTATCAAGCATGATTTTAGGACAACACTGCAAGTTTGGAAGACAACTGTGGACAAATACGAAACTTAAAACAGGTGGGATGCTGGTACTCGAGGGCTCCAGCCCGACTGGACTTTTTTTTAAAGGAAAATAGCAGTTAAATGTTTGGAAACTAAAAGGATTTGCATATTTACTACACTTTTCTTGTCAAAGAGGGAGAGTGGAAAAAAACATATCAAACAAATGCATTGTATGTCTTAAAACATGTCAGGAAGGTTTCTTTGATGCAGCCATTGTAGTCTATACTTAAAATATACTGTTTTTGTGCACATTATGTGCATTAGCTATAGCCTACCTACATGTACATCACAAAGCACTCTCCAAACTATCACTACACATTACTAATGCATGAAATAAAGTGAGAGGAAATAACTAATAATAGGAGCAGGCTCTTCCGCAATAGTTGGTTGCAAGAATAGCAATTTAATTAGTGAAACTCGACTCATGCATCCCCCAGGCTACATCATAATCCAGTACGCCTTACAGGAATACATGACATCATAGGAAACACCGAACGGTACGATAAAGTCACTGCAATATCACCCACGAACAAACACACTGCGGGTCTCCATTGAAATATTATATGCTGCAAATATCTTTCAGCGGGGAAGTTCAAGTGCAGTCAGGAGATTGCATTTCCTGCAGGACTATTGACAGCCCTTCAATTCATACCTTGATGTGTTTTAATGGGGGTCATAAAGTAATCTGATGCAAAACAGGGAGTGTGTGTGAGAGCAGTTGGTAAGATTCCTCAATGCTGTGTTAACCTTCGCATCATCTTGTTATAGTTAAATAAGGAAAAGCCTTCTGACTTCAAGTGTTTTTGGAAGAAGAGGTAGGAAGTTATAGGTAAATTCACATGCCGTTTATGTTTTCTTTCCACAAAAATAAATAAAAATAGATCCCAGAATAGGCGAACTGTAAATAATAAGGCGTGAGAAAGTCTCGCTTGAAAAGTAAAGGGAAAAGGGAGCGGACAACAATAGACTTCCTGTCAAACTAGCAGACATCATGTCAGTTGGGAAATGTGATTGGCTAAGTAAGCACTACCCACGTTATGTCCACCCACACACAAAAAAAATCAAACGTGTAAGAGATGAAGGCCTGATTTAACTCACTGCACTGGTTACTAAAAGCTGGAGAGAGAGAAAATGTTTTGGGGGCAAAAACAATCCCATTACAAGCCCCTCTAAAGCTCACTAATTAATAAAAACAGAAGTCTAACAACACACTCTGGTTTTAGCACACAATAAACAAGGCAATTTACTAGATTGTTAATTGGTGAACTTTAGAGGTACAGGTAGGCCAAGTTACCACGCAGGCTAAACATCAGATGTCTGGAGAGTTGCAGGAGAAACACAAATGTACCTCCTTAGAAGGCTTGTGAAGGCGGCTTTCATGGAGATCAGAGGCCTGAAGTAACAATGTGTGTGTGTGTGTGTACACACACTTATGTGTGGGAGACTGTGTGCTCTGACAAGTGTAACAGGTGCTCAGTTCCTGGAAAGTGATCAGTGCTGCTGACTAATAGCTGGTTTCTTGCAGTAACCACATGCCTGACTTTGCTCTCTTCGACAGCCCTCTCGGCTTAGCGGTGACTGAATGTGAAAGGAAAAAAAACATCCGACTGTACTTGAAATCTACTCGTCAAACATTTCTCAAATACTAAAAGTCTGGAAGAGTCAAATACTTTGGACCCTTTTTGCAGACGTTTGAATTTGCACACGTGTTTTCTGGAGTATCATCCAAAGGATATTTTACTACTTTAGATCCGATTTATCCCAAACCACATCAACACTGTTACAACATATATAATTTATCGATTTTCTACTTTTAAGTATAACTGAAATCTCACAAAAAACACCAAGAACCTGCCAGCTACTAAATACTGCTACACATTACCGTTTAGATCAGTGATGTTTAATGCTTTCCAGGAGTTATTACGTGATCACATATTGTAATTGTGGTTTACCAAGAGTTCCCTTCAGCAGCGTTGTGCACCTCCCTCTACTTCAGAGATCTCCTACGTTTCCCAGAATAAGTTACAACAGTCCCCCACAGAGGGGCGGTGAATATGGTATCTGCACCTCGATGTTCCGTGTAGGTGGTGAGAGTAATAGCGATACCATCGAAAGAGCAAGAAAAGGAGAAAACAAGTTGTTTTTTTAAATTTTCCAGCGAAGATGAAGCGAGTAGTCGCAAAAGGACAACTTGTATTTTAGCTGCAGTGCATGCTGGTCCAGTGAAGCTGCAAGTAGAGACGATACACTTTTCTATAAATCAGCTTTTACTGCGTGACTTCTGGACATTTAAGTTGATGTTTCGAGAAAGATGCATCTTCAAATGCACAAAATGCTGTACTCTTCAGGCAGCTTCAACTTGTACACCCAATGGACAGCCGTGTATTCTTAAATGTATGTCTTGACAAACCAAGCAATCAAAAGTACGTGTTAAAATGCTGTAACATTTAGATTTAGAGTCGACAGCCAAGCTAGTGCTGTAGCTCTTTGGGCTTAGTGTTGCTAACACCAGCACGTTTACACTGACATTCCTAACATGTTAGTAAGCAGCAGGTATGTTTAGTTTAACATGTTAACATGCTCAACTTTACTTCAAACCATTCTCACAAAAAAAAAAAAGTGCAACAGAAAGGAAGTAGAAAATGAGGTTGGCATCCTTGCTAAGTTATTGTAAATGACTTCATGCAGCTCAGATCTGCTGACCCGAGGCAGCGATCTCAGGTGTTTGCTTCTCATGTCACCGAAAACTAAGTTCACAACCCTGCCATACAATTTCCGCCCAGCTCTTCAGTTACGCAAATGGCACACTAAGCTCAGCGCAGAGGGGAAGAGAAGTGCTGATGTGCGCCGCTGTCAGCAGAATGAATGAGTCACGTCTTACCATATACTGGAACATCAGCAGCGTGCACTTATATCGACAGTGCATGTGCAGTGTCTGAGGTGTTCCTGCAGAGGGTTTTATGAATCAGTTAGATGATTTTCCACTTTACTGTATGAATAAACTATGTAAATTATAATCTAATATCATTTTGTATGTAGCTTTGTTTAGTAATTACATTTACATAATCATTCCCTAAGATGTATACATTTGTAATTAGATTATTCCAAAAACAAATGCTGAGAAACCAGAATCCAATTCAAGAAATATTAAATAATATAACATAGGATTGAACCGATTCAGAAATATACCTTTTAAAAAAAAAAAAAAAAAAAAAAAAAATTGGGAACAGAGTGCACAGTTTAGGCTAATAAAAAAACATTTATTTAGAACACACACTTTAAAAAAATCTTCTAAACAATTTTGAAATTCAACATTAAATTGTAAAAGTCCACGTCTCTGCTGCCATTCTGCATTGATCGCAACTTACAGGGTGTGGCCAGTCGGCAACACCTCGCCATCCAAAACACAGAGCGCCACTCTCCTTTTTGGCTGCTCAAAAATCTGATTTCTGTATTTCTTTCGGTGGGTACGCAGCGATGATAGCTGTAGTCTGCAAACAACCGACAACAGTAAAGATGTTTCTTGTGCATTATTCGCTTTAAGTGCAGCGTGGCACTTCACCACAACATTTATCTCTGCACTTCGCCGTAATCTGCATCTCACATAAGAAACCTCTCGTCCTTTTTGATTGTATGCCATGGTGTTATGAAAGGAAGCTGCGTCACTAAGTCGTTTTAGTGGCTAAATACTGTGCAATTACTCTCAAAGACACTGATCTGTTTCGGAGTTCTGCAACAGGTACAAGATGTAAATGGCAGAGTTTAAAAAAAAAGTTATATATATATATATATATGGCATAGCTCTGCTACTCTGCACTCTGAGGGCGTCCTGAGCAGTGCCGGATTAGAATTAGCCATGCTTTACAATTGTCCACATCGGCAAAACCATTCAGCAGACATTCTAAAGAGCCATATGTGGGCCGCCACGACTCAGAAACACAGAGTTAGCAATTTGCATCTCGTTAAGCCTCGCACTCAGTTCTCCATGGTGGCTTCCCGTATTGGCTTTTGGTTCAAGAAGTTGACAGCGTCCCCGCCGCCCTGGCTCGGCGTGGACAGGTACTCTAACTCGTAGCCTCCGCTGCTGTTGGCCGGGCGGACCTCACTTGATGGTTTTTTGTGTTCCAGGATCTGCTGCAGCTGCTGGCTGGCGTACTCGGGTTTAGTGGTGAGGGGTCCTACGGGGACCTCTATGCCCAGGATGTCGGTGACCATGTAGGGGCGAAGCCAGCCCACCAGAGGGGTGCTGCCGGGGGTGTAGTGGGTCTGCCGGTGGTAGAAGAGCAGACCGTCCACCTGCGGCAGGAAACTCAGAATTAAACTAATCAAAGCACCACGAGGAGCAAACAAAAAGTTTGTATGCGTTTCTTAAAAAGATGATTTATCGGACTCGAACACTACTTGCGATGAGCAGCAGTAAGTTGTCACAAGAGTTGAAGGAAAAGAGAAGTTCTCTTACACTGAAGCTGTACTCCGCAGCCAGGGCTTTCTGAATCAGCTCCGCTGTGCAGTCGATGCTCTGGAGGCTCACAAACCGGAACTGTTGGACCAAACAAAACCAGAACACCGTGTTGTTAGTTCCAAACACAGTTTGTCTTCTTGTCAAATGTGAGAAACATGCTTTCCAATGGTGAGTTTACTCCTCAAAGACTAAGCCTGATGTAGCTCCTGCTTGGCCGTACCACGCAGACACACAGATTAAGAGGTGGAACTCAAATGTTCGCTCAGGCTTCCCTGAAGCCCCATAATCATCTAGATTTGTGTGCAAGAATCATTTTAGTGCACAATTAGTACCGAAGACGGTAATGGACGTTTGCCTTTAATTTACCTTTGTCTCAAGGTTCAAGTTCAGGACTTTATTTATCCCTTATGTGTAAATAAGGTGCAGCAAGCACAACAAACACAACATGCAGAAAGCCAAGATTGAATCAACATGTTGAAGTATCTGAAATAGCAGCGAGGAAGGACAAAATGGGGCACGAAGTGAAGCGGCTCTCTTCCTGTTACTCACAGGGTTGCGCTTGGCAATTTCTGAAAGGCCGTCCGTCTCCTGCACTTTGGACTGGAGCCAGTAGAAACGGAACTCAGTCTGTTGATGAGAAACAAGTACTGTAAACAAAAAAAACAAAAAAGCTCCTTTTTGCATACCGAGCCAATAAGATGGGCAACATGGCCAAAAAAGCAAAAAAAAAAAAAAAAGCACATCTGTGGCCCAGACTCTGCTACATAAGCAATTAGACAAGCATTCCCGGATTGCTTGCTGGAGAATTAGACGCCAGTCTTACCGGGCAGTCGTAGACCGGGTGGCCTCTCCAGCACATGACGTCCAGGATGTAGTACGTTCTGTCCACCTCGCTGTAAATGCAGTCCAGGATCGTGTAGTCTGCACGGGGAATGTACAAAAGGGCCATTTACGGATATACAGAATACACCACTATAAAACTTATTTATAATCACTTACTATCTCAACTCTTATTTACTAAATAAAAAGGCAGAAATACATTTACAGCCTCGTAGTACAAAAGGACCTCATATATTCTGTTGTAAATGTATTTGGTACTTGTTGAACCTGTGATGTCCCCTCCCTCTTCTAAAAAGCCTGCATGTGATAATTACATTTAAAGTGTTTTGAAGTCCTTTCAATGTTGTTGCTCACTGCAATGCATCTACTACAGTGCACCACTGCGCTCCCCCCCCCCACACACACACACACACCTTTCCCCATGGCTGAGTTGTGTCGGTTCCCACCGGGCAGCAGGGAGGGGAAACGGTTCACACAGTAGCCGCTTTTAGTGTACGCTGCAGTGGAGCCCTTCAGGAAAACAAAAAGAAATCTAATGAGGACATCACTTCTGAATTATTGCCCAGCTTTATTAGAACTATACCATCATGCATTTGGATATTTTATGAATCAACTTGTTGCATTAGTGCCTGAAGTTCCCACAGCAGGAACTTTGAAGATAAAAGAGTCACGCTGGGTAACCGTAACAAATGACTGTGATGAAACTCGTCTCATTCAGTCATCCTCAAACCATCGGTTTTCGTAGAGAGCTGTGCCGCGGTGTTCCAAAGATCTGTCGCCAATGAGGTCAGGATCTGAAATACTGAATGAGGATCCAGATGACTGTCACTATGACGAGATAGATGGTTGCATCAAAGGGTGTGGAGTGACTCTAGTGTGTGCTGAGAGAGGAACCCTGTAGTCTTGGGCCAGTATGACTGGACAGGCATGTAGTAGCAGAGCTACCAGTCATCTAATGCTGCCTCGAGCCTTTTCATTACTCATTAAACACAAAAAGAATACAATACGAGGTAAATGAAGCAATGGTTTAACATGGAACACTACCACAGGAAAAACCACATGCAATGTCGTAAAGGTAAACCGGAAAACCCCCAAAGTTCTAACAAGTTCATCAACGAGAAGTTATTGAGAGCCGAGTATTATTTATGTACCGATGATGATTTTGAAACTACTTTAGAAGCTCCAACTCATGTTCCAAATTTGGATTTTCTTTCACCCCAACAACTGACAAGATGGCGACAGTGTAGATTCAAACTGAAAAGTTCCAAATCTGTTTGCCACGATGGACAATTTTAAAATTCCCAACTTTGTTGGTGCGGTTGTTAAAGAGGGCCACAAGCAAAAAAAATGTAGGTCAATTGTTGCATAGAACTCAAGGCAATCTCCAACACACTCAACAAAGAAGAACACGCAATGAAGAAACTAGACTGTCAGAGCTGCAGCCACGGCTGTTGACTGCAGGATAAAGGCCTTCAGATTGTAATCTGTGAATTAGATTAATCGTCTCTTTAACAACGGTCGCCAAGTTAATGATTGTGAAACAAACCACAAAACAGCAAACAATATTCCATTGTCGCAAACTGTGCGTCGCTCGTGTGTGACACAACGTGCTTTTGCCACTTCTTGTTTTATATCGTCTCAACACTTCTTGGGCGGCACGGCCAAACCCTTTTTTCTTTTTGCATCATGTTGTTGTAGTTATGTGACACATGTTTTTACGTGTTTAAAACAACTATATAGCAGTGGCTCTATAAATGCATCTCCATTATTTTATTTTTATTACTGCCTGCAATGATCGACATGGTCCTATGAGCGAACATCTTTACAGTATCAACATGAAATCACTTCACTTACCGATAACTCCGTTACAAACTCAGGAAAAATGTTCCTAACTGTTCGCCCACATTGATTGCTCACACAAGGTGGCTCATCTTACTCAGGGGAACGACACACGTCGCTTCTCCCCGGCACCAGGAAGGCAGGGTTATATTTACAAGCAATAAATGCAAAGTATGCAACAACCCTCTCAAAATATTGATTCAAGCTAGAAAAGATCCCGACTGCTGCTGTTCATGTGTTGCAACTCATCATGTAATAACTTAAATTAAATCAAAGCTCATAATGTAATAATGTTCTGAAAACCATGACACAGGTTTTCCACCAGGAAAAGATGTCACTAAAGTTGAGTTGTTCACTTAAAAGAGGATATTTGTGTTATTTTCAACCAGTTCCAAACTGGACATGTGACAAAATTCATAACTACAAAATATCCGGTGACCTCGACAACCGAGAAGCTTTCCAGAGATGATGCTGAATTTAATGTACTGGGTGACGTAGAGTGTGAAATATTTGTTCCACATGATTGCACTCCCAATTATTACATTATGAGCTGCTACATTCATGTTAATCACATTTCAGGAGTGGACAGACTTTTGATCAGGGCTGGAAGATGAGACATCAAAAAAGAGAGGAGGTGGAATCTAATTCAAAAGCCAATAACGAGCAGCTCGCAGCTTTTTTGATGGGTAGATCTAAATGTGGTGGCTTATCAATGTTGTGCCTTCAAATAATCATCTTCCTCCTCGCTGATCCAGGGACAGCAGTAAGACATCCTGTGAAACAGAAAGGCAGTGACGGGTTCTTACCTTGGAGGCAACAATGAGAGATCTTTTCCCCACAGGACAGACCACCATCATCCAATCGGTGTCCAGTTCTGACGGTACATCCACCAGCCACTCTGACAGCATGAGCTGAAGGAGGAAGACAAACTCTGTTAACAGCATTTCATCAACACTGTATTCAAACGGTCCAAGAATGATAACTTCAAAATCTGTTTGGCTTGTTAGGCCACCATTCTAGAGACTCCTGTGCCCTCTGCTGGCCCAGAGGAAGAATGCAACAGAAAAGCACATGTGCTGTCATTTATGAACAATATCTCTATGAACAAACGCCGACCTGGTTCGCATAATGCTTTGGCAGCTTCCTCTTCTCAATCTCCATCCCCTCATCCTCCGTGTCGCCGTCTTGCTTCCGTTCCCCCTCCTCTTTTTTCTCCATGTCCTCCTCTCCATCGCTGTCTGCCCCCGTCCAGTCCCCATCGGCCAGACGCCGCGCGTGGTTGACGTAGTTTAACCTTTTACTGAGGATGAAAACATCGGCGTGATTAACTTGTACATAAGGCATGGTAGTCGCTCAAAACACTGAAACAAAACTGCACACCCTGATGAAGAAGTGTGTCGGTTCTAACAAGTTCATTACAAATAAATACATTTTGCCACGTAGAAGAAAGACATTTTAATCTTGCACAAACCCTACAGCTTGCTTTTGATTTTATTTGAAGGAGAATGGCATTTTATACTTTTTTTAGACCATATTCCACTCATGCAATAAGCCCTTCAGAAGATTAAATAAGCACAGTACACCTTAAGGATCCAAAGAGCACCTGTATGTGATTTGTAGATCACACATCAGTGCATCTACACACGCTGCATTCTTAAGTTCACCAATCATGTCAAGCTGGGAGGAAGCTATCTTTAAAGGTACTTTCTAGAGCATTAGCGTGTCTTGGATGTATCCGACTGTTACTGTAGTCCTAAGTGTGCAGCTTGGAACAGTACAAAGCAGAAGTGAATGGAGAAAAGGTCTCCGGTGTATTGTTTTACGTCATTTAGTAGCAGCGATGCTAAACATGTGTTCATGGTGCAATGTAGAAGTAATAAGGGCTACGAATCATTGTTTTTATGTAATCTGTGACTCTAGATCGGAGAACATCTAATCAAGAAGAGACATGCTCCATACTGTGAAGTAATACGATATCTACCTTTTCTGCAGTTCAAGGAAGCGCCGCCGTCGCTCGCTCTGCTCCAGCACGCTGTACTTGCTCTTGTACTGGGCCAGCCGAGGGTGGGGGGCGGCGGTGGTGTTGGGCTCCTTGGACACAGCGAAGCTGGCCGAGAGGGCTTGGGTGAGGTCATCCATGGGGGCTCTGTTGAAATCAATGCAATTCTATATTAATGCTGCTGATAATTCCTAATCTTTAGATTTGCATCGACATTACTTTTGTGTGCTTGAAAATTTGTAAAATCCCCAAAGTCCAAGGTGATGCTTTCAAATTGCTTGTTTTGCCAAAAGCTGCAGATCCTTACTTTTAAGAAGCTCAAACAATAAAAGCTTCACAAATTACCTAAACAAATTTGATTGATTATCAAAATACACTAGGCTTTAGTACCACCATTAATATATTGTGACTAACAATAACACAGCTACAGTAAGTGTATAAACACATTAATGGACAGCCAGTCAACATCAGATTATGTAAACTAACGTATCTACATGTATCATGTCTGCACCCTCGACATGTGGCTCCACAAATTAGTTTTTGCTCCATTAAAAGTAAAGAGAAGCTACACGCTGAAATAACGTTAGCTGGTGCCACAACACAATATAACGTTGTGTTGTCATCACTGTAATATTTGCACATGGAGCCATAATAAATCCACCCGGACGACAGAGGTCTTCTCAGACGGGTGATAAAAGAGTTTTCAAAAAGCCCGGGGACTGCTACGTATAGCCAGTTAAGCTAGCTAGTCACGTTAGCACCTAGCACTGTGCTAAACCTGCTCGCAGCTAGCACTGTGCTAAACCTGCTCGCAGCTAGCACTGTGCTAAACCTGCTCGCAGCTAGCACTGTGCTAAACCTGCTCGCAGCTAGCACTGTGCTAAACCTGCTCGCAGCTAGCACTGTGCTAAACCTGCTCGCAGCTAGCACTGTGCTAAACCTGCTGGCATACAGTTAGCCGGACCAATTGTGCGCAACACTGAACCTAGAGCGTTACGTTACTGCTTTAAATGTCTACTACCTACACCTAAGTATCAGGCCCAAAATAACTACATTGACAGCAGGTTTGGTCAGATATTAGCATTAATAACAACATTAGATAAATAGATACCTTGGGCATTCAGGGAGGCTGCTGCTGAGACGTCACGCTGTCATCTTTCCCACCAACGGGAGACTTCTAGTTGGCCGACTAAATACTGAAAACTAACCCGGAGTTTTACGGAGCAAACTTCTGCACTTCATAGATGTATTATGTGTTCGAAGAGATACTCAGATCTTCAACTGAAGTAAAAGTAACAATCCTATTGTGTATGAATACTCTCGTAAAAGTCCTGTATTTCAAATCTTACCTAAGTAAAAGTACTAAAGCATCCACATATACTTAAAATACCAATAGTAAAAGCACCCCACTTTGTATATTGCTGGGTAGCGTAACCTGTACTAATATAGAATAATTAATGAGTTGTTTTATATTTTGTATCAATTATCTAAATCTGCAAAGTAACCGAGGCTGTCAAATGAATGTAGTGGAGTAAAAAGTGCAACTTCCCGCTGAAGTCTAAAGTTGCATAAAATGGAAGAACTTAGATATGTGTATAAAATGCATATTTGCAGTGTATAATAAGACATACTACTATAATAGGTCCTAATGGTAGTAAGTAACAACAACATTATCATCAACATCATCTGAAGCCTGCTGTTGTAATCTGTGTTGAAGGATATAATCTGTTCCTCCTGTTGGGGGCGACGTTGAGCCAGTTTCTCCTCTGCAAAGAATATAAAGGAGCTGATGAGAAAAAAGACGACGAGCAACTCCAATTGTCCAAGCCCAACGTCATGGAAAGAGTTACTTTGTTGCAGCGCGCACAGGAATAACCCCAAAGAAACAACACTGACCCGTGGTCTGTGTTGATAATATGTATAAGGAGATTGTTTAGTTGCTGTTTTTGCTTTTATCCTTTTTTGGTTGGAGGGGGGTTGAATTCAAAGGATCGACTGAAGATGCGCAGGGACCTGTTTACAAGGAAAACTCAGCAAGTTTCAGTCCGAGGGAATGCGGAGCAGGCTCACGATGCACAGGGATCCTCATCCCTCTGTCTTCCTTCACGCCGGGCCACTTTGTCTTGAATATATTTTCATCAAGGATCACTTTTAGGCTCCGTAATAAGTGTTCGACACCACGCGAGGTTGCCGTCCTGTTTCTGAGGATTAAAACCACCGACGGTGCTTTTTGGAGGAGCTCTCTGGTGAAACCAGTTTTTTGTGTGTGTTGTGTTTGTGATGTAAAAGGAGGAAGAGAGTCATTCTGTTGTGAGGAAGTCACAGTGTTATGGAGCATTTATAGTTTAAAGTTGAAAGACTTTAAAGTGTAATGGACAGGAAGACAATGGACTGATAGCCTCAATGGGCTGAGGATGCAAGTGGTCACAGTAGGTCTATTTTAGACTTTATTTTGGAGAGCGGATAGAAGTGATAGTTTTACATAACTGTTAAATTCTCCTGTGTTTACTAAGTGTCAGATCATTAACTTTACATAAGTTATACTGTGCTGTTGCACACCTCATGCAACAGCTGCCATGTAATTTGAGATGAGTTTAAATATTACAGTGAGCTAGTGTCAGATGTTTACAACACGGCATGCATCAAGACAGCAGCATCAATATAAACTAGGCACTATGTGCATGTAGATTTTATTTTTTTTTGCTTGCTTTTGGACCCACTGGAGTATCAAGATGTCAGTGAAAGCCAAAGCAATCTACACTTTTCTGAGTGAAAACAAAGAGGAGATCAGCATCCGGGAGAACGAGGAACTGGTTATCTTCGACGATAAGTCGGTGGACGGCTGGTTTCAGGGGGAGAACAGCCGCGGGGAGAAGGGTCTCTTCCCCGCGTCCTATGTGGAAGTGATTCGCACCCGCTCGAACTCGAACGTGACCGACTGCTCCATAAGCCCGGCAGGGTCTCTGGGAAATGACTCCTCCTATTTCCCCTCAACCCCGAACACCCCTCTGCATTTGCAGCGGAGTTTCAACGACGACGATGACGACGACGACGACTGGGACGACTGGGACGACAGATCCACGGTGGTGGACGACGGGGACCACATCAGGAGCCCCGGGGCAAACGGGCATTCCCATCAGAGCCCACTGTCCAACAACCCCAATGTGCACTACCGGGCCAAACCACACATGGAGAGACAGGACAGCATCTCCAGCTCCAGGAAGGGCAGCATGGTGGGCCGGAACCTGAACAGGTTCTCCAGCTTCGTCCGCTCAGGGGTGGAAGCGTTTGTGTTGGGTGACGTGCCCATGATGGCGAAGATAGCGGAGTCGTACACCATCGAGATGGGCCCCGTATGGCCCCTGTGGAAGGAGAGCCCACAGCCTTTCTCCTGCTCCATCGAGGACCCCACAAAACAGACAAAGTTCAAGGGCATCAAGACGTACATTTCGTACCGGGTCACGCCGAGCCACACAGGACGTCCCGTCTACAGGCGCTACAAACACTTTGACTGGCTGTACAACCGCTTACTGCACAAGTTTACTGTGATCTCCGTGCCTCACCTGCCTGAGAAGCAGGCCACGGGGCGATTTGAGGAGGACTTCATCGAGAAGCGCAAGAGACGGCTGATACTGTGGATGAACCACATGACCAGCCACCCGGTCCTCTCCCAGTACGAGGGCTTCGAGCACTTTCTGATGTGCGCTGACGACAAGCAGTGGAAACTGGGCAAGAGGCGGGCGGAGAAGGACGAGATGGTGGGTGCCCATTTCATGCTGACCCTGCAGATCCCCAACGAGCACCAGGACCTTCAGGATGTCGAGGAGCGGATCGACACCTTCAAGGCCTTCGCCAAGAAAATGGACGACAGCGTGATGCAGCTCACGCACGTTGCCTCGGAGCTGGTGCGCAAGCACCTGGGCGGGTTCAGGAAGGAGTTCCAGCGGCTGGGAAATTCTTTCCAGTCCATCAGCCAGGCGTTCATGCTGGACCCTCCCCACAGCTCGGAGGCCCTCAACAAAGCCATCTCCCATACAGGCCGCACCTACGAGAACATTGGAGAGATGTTTGCAGAGCAACCCAAGTACGACCTCTTCCACATGCTGGACAAGCTGTCGCTCTACCAAGGCCTGCTCGCCAACTTCCCTGACATCATTCATCTACAGAAAGGTAAAAATCATCCATGAGTAGTTTTAATCTGTGAGAGAATTCTCTGATGTCCTTATGCATACAAACTATAAATGTAACCATGCTACAAAATGTTAACGATGATTACATCCATGATCAACACAGATGTTTGGATGTATCCTCGGCCTCCCATCTGATTTTAGTTCCTGCAGCTTCATTCATGTTTGAACTGAATGTCCAAAGACAGCTTCTTATTACAATATTGAAATGACTATACAGTAACTTTTCTTCCCCCCAGCCACCAGGCCACATAATGGGCTCTTCATGTCACAAGCAGATTATTATTGGACCTAAATACTCATTACTACTTTGTAACAAGCGCTGTAGCAGTCTTCAATTGAGACGAGCAGCAGCTGTGAGAGTTTCAAAGGCTTCAATAATTGTTACGAATAAAACACGCATTCTCTGGTCATGGGAACAAACTGAGCTGATGGCCCGTGATCACCTTTTGTGCTATTTATTTTGTTATGGATGACAGGTCAGGTCAAATTTTGCCTCCAGCATCTCCCATCATCTCACACACACGCACGCACGCACACACACACACACACACACACACACACACACACACACACACACACACACACACACATACATACAGAAATAAGATGTTTTAACCCGAGAATGAAACATAGTGTTTGTAAGTTTTATGTGTCAGACTGTTTGCCAGCAGCATCTGAGGTCACTTGCTCCAACTCCTTGACCCTCACCCACACACACACAAACACACACACACACACACACCCACACCCACACACAAAAACACACTTTACACACTTTCCACACTCTCTTCAATATGACTGACATCATACAAAGTGTGTCAACAATAACTGTCATTAGAGCCTGAAAATAATTCAATTAATTACAGAATTAGTGATATCAAACAAAACTAATACTCATTATGTGTACAATTAGGCTGCGTCTTTTGGTTTGGAGGTTCTCCTTTTCTTGCTGTCTGGGTTCTGTTCAAAGTTTGATGAGACAAATAGGCAAGTGTAGTGTAATATTACAACCAACAGCCATGATGTGGCATGATGACACCTGGGTGACATGGGCAGGGAGTGGCTTATGGATAAGTGATCTTTTATCATTTCATTTATTTATTATTTCATCTTAAAAGTGCTGAACTCCAAATTCAGAACGTATCTATGATTAGGAGATTGCCTCGTCACGGCTTTCAACATGGCGGCGGCTGAGCCGGCGGCTATTAGCTAACAGCGCTAACAGCTAAGCAGATGGCCGCTTCCATGACGCCTCCATGGGTCATCAGCAGTAACCGCTGTATGCACGCGCAGCCGTAAACAAAGCACAGAGAAGCTCGGATTACAACACACACAGAGGGAAAGTGACTTAATTTTACTGCTCAGGTAAACATAACACCACTATATATTTACATCGTAAATAATTGTTTGCTGCTAAATGCTCTGAATTTCAAATTTAAGTAGCATTTAAGTACTAATATTAGTTCTGCTCAGTTCTGCACGGCAAACTCCTGCGAGCCCTGTTAGATGTTCGTCCAAGACTGTGGGAGAACGGACATATCAGCGTTCTGTGTCAGCTATCAAACAAATAACTGTATCAGCTGTTGGAAGGAAAGGGCTGCTGCTAGTGAGGAAATGTGCTGTCGGTAAATGTTACCGTCGTTCCTTCAAACAGCTGGCAATCATTATCACAGATGTCATTTGTGATACAGTTCGGCTATAGTTTCATTTAGTCACTCCACCCACGAAATAATGTGAAAAACAAAGCCACCTGAATGATGTTAAATGGTCAGTCCACCCAAATCACAAAATGAATGATGTTATTATTGAACCCCGGCGGTGTCAGATCGTGGAGATAGTTTCGGTTTCACGTGTCAAAGTTTTGAGATATCTGGCTCTGAAATATCATTTTTAGATGCTCGGAGCACCACAGAGGAAATTCCATTCACCCCCATTATATCGGGTTGATAAAGGTGGAAATCCCCAAAATGCCTGCTTGGCTATGCACCACCATGTAGGAAAATATGTCTATCTGTAATTTTGTCCGACTGACCTGAAACTTTTTAAAAGAAAAGATAAGATGTTCAATAACACACACTCGGTTCAACACAGTCAAGCTTATGGTGCTTAATGTTGGCTGAAGCTGCATACTGCTGTGTAACTGACATTACTGAGTCAGATGTACGGCTTTATAACTCTTTTTCTACTTGTGCTACTGTTACTATTTTGAATGTTTTACCATTATGTTGTAATTGTCGCATGCAGCCACACTGCTAATCAAAAGTTACATTGTGTTTCACTTTAAGGGAATATTATCAAAACTAGGAGGAAAGGAAACGAGAGAAAGTATACTCATTCATTTCAATGTTCTTTTGCAGTCATGTTTGGCATTTTAACATCACCAAGGGATTTTTTTTTACCATAAAAGGATGAAGAGAACTATTTTTAAGATGACCAGGTCTTGAACATGGTCATGAACATGTGCTTTATGCCAATAAAACAAATTCTAGAGTAGCTGTTTGCAGCATCTAATATTTCGGAGGATAACTTAACTTAAGTTTAATAACCTCAACATACTTTTATACACGTCATGCATTGCTTGACATATTTTGTTTCTGTAGTTGAGCTGTACTCTATTCTAGACTTTACTTGCCAAGAGTAGGGCTGTGTATTGAACCTTGATATCTCTCTGAATCTCATTTGGTCCATAGACTGTATATAAGGAGTGGATGTAGTCACAGTGATGTCACCCATTGGTTTGTGGAATACGGGTTTGAAGCCTTGACACTGCATTTCAACTCGCATACTGTTTCTTTTTACTTTTAGTACATACTGAAGCTGGAAACAGTATAAAATTATGTGTACCGGTACTCAACCTTAGCCAAGAGACAACAACTACTGTAGGCGAGGAGGTTGTGAAGCAGTGTTTTTGTGAATGCAGAGACGTTTTCCCTCCGCGGAGTCGTCCCTGCCGGCCCAATAACTCCCCTTGATGTGACTTGTGTTCTGCTGAACCAGATACAGCTGTGGCAACACTCAGAACACGCAGGACTGAGGTCAACCTTTTCCGGTGCACTACTCCTCTTCATGTCCTCATTGCTCCTTTCCTGCCTGACTTTGCCCTTTCACTGAGTTCTATAGGAGCTCAGGAGGTTTTTTGACTGTGATCCTGGTGAGCATGTGAACTCCAGGAATGTTAACTGTCTTTGAGACGTGGTGTTGGGCAGGGACTGCATGCAGCCTTGATAAAAGGGATTTACTATCACTTTCTCCCATTTTCTCTGTCCTGTTTTGACTTTTACTCAACTGATTTTAAGTGTCTTTTGGTCTCTGCTTGTGCTCAATCTACCATCAGCCCTTTTTTTCAATAATGGAGAAAGTAAATCTGGTCTGGTCCAGAGGCTTGGACTCCTGACAGCGCTCTGCTGTACTTTGAACCTCTGCCAAAACTAACCCCAAAGACCTTGATCTCATTTGAATACCAGGGGGATCTCCATGAACGGGGTTAATTACATTGCATTGTTATAGAATAAAGGGCCTGTGAGCTTTTAGAGCGAGAGGCAGATTTGTAACAATTAGTTGTTGGTAATCCTGGAAATGTATTGTACTGTCTCTTTTGTGTTATTGTACATAATCATAAAGTGAGCTGTGCTGGTCTGGTATCAAGCTGGTCTTGAATATTAAATGTGTAACCACTGAGGTTACATTGACAGCAGTGATAACATGTAAGGTATTCGTGAGAGTAAAGCCAGATATCATGTTCTGTAGATTTTGTACCTGGCAACAACCGAGACTCTAATCCGAGACAAAACCACCTCATGTAGCTTTGACCAAACACAAACGAGTTCACAATAGAGTGAAACCGACCCGCCCCACGGATTGGGTATCAGTCTGATCAGGTGATGAAATGTGAGGCGTTGGCTCTGCATGCGATCTGGATCTGCATCACCGGTGTCCCCAGAATGACACGTTGAGGAGAGCAAGGCAAACAATTGAGGTTGGATTCTTGTGCATAACCCCCAAAAAGTGATGATTATTGTGGGTTAGCTAGAAAAGGCCACACTGGAATAATTGCAGTTTAAAAGTACAAGTTTATAAATTATATAAAACCAAGAGGAACAAGTCATGAAATATGTGCAATGTTTTCAAAATAAAATGCATCAGACCATAGATTTTCTCCTATCTCGACTTGTTTTTTGGCATTTAGAAAAGTGGTGTCCCCCCCCCTGTAGCTGACAGTGGGATAAAACCTTCTCTGATCCACCCCAGAGCGGAGCATTATTCACTTTGAGAATGAGCGAGCTCCCCTGGGACGCTCCCCAGCCCGCCAGCCAGACTTTTAATCTGGACAAGAGGTTAGTTGTCCTCCATACGGCAACACATTACAACACCACATGCAGGCTCCATCAGTTTTCAAGGAAAAGATATGTAGTTGCCAGTTTTGAGGAAACGTGTGCGCCGAACGCCCCCTTGATCTGCAACAGGGGTTCGTCTTATTGTGCCTGCGTGCACACACGAACGTCTTTGTGCGTTTTATCTTCAACCGTTCTCAATATCGTTTAATTTTCTCAAAGGGCTGACCAAGAGCTCATGCCGTGTTTATATTGTCTTACAAACGTGTTGCAGATTAACATTCCATACACTGGTTACAATACAGAAGAAAAACCGCACTGTCAGCAGGTAGACAAAACCTCAATCCGTGAAACCAGGCGAGGGTTGAAGGAGCGTGCAGTGGCTCAGCTGTGGCACCTTTTGAACATTGATTGTATGTCATTGCGTTGGCTACGGTACCCGTGGCTGTCTGTGGTGACAATGGAGAGCAAACGTATACTCTCTCCTCTTTGCTTACTCATAAATCTCGACGAAGGCCCTCATCTTCACACAAACTGTCAATCCCACATGCCTCTGCATTCCTGTCTGTGCTGGCCCAGTGCGCTGCTGTTTCACACTGAAGGAGATTACAGATGTCTCCAAGTACTCGGCCTTTACCACGACCCCCGC